GAAAACTTAAATTAGCTCTGTGACTGAGACTATCTCTTGCAAAGAGAGGAAGGCACGGGGGTGCCCAGAAGACTTTTCCATGTCTTCTCACCCAGCAGTCTTAGCAGCTTTTATGGCCACTCCTGTTGGAAGCGCCAGAACCTCTAGGAGGTCACAGTGCTGTGTGTCCTCATAGAACATGTGCAAGTCTTCTGGAACTGAACAAGAGCCCTCAGTGTCCCTAGCAACAGCCAATGAGGCATTGCGGGGAGAGCGCATCAAAATCAGAAATGGTTTTGGACCAGGTTCAGCCTTTGGCAGCTACTGGAGGAGTCTTCAGAGACTCAATATATGCTGAGCCTGATTCTGGGCGAGGATCCCCAGTGAGGGGCCTGTGGGGTCAGTGAAGAGGGAATGTGTGTCAGTGACCGCATTTGGGGTTTTATTTAGCTTCAGTCACTGAGGAATCTGGGCGTTAGTGATGGGGCCTTTGATTGAGGCTTAACCTGTAGAGATTAATGATCGAAGGTCTTGTTGGTCAGGGTTTAGGGTCTATATGTTAGGTCTGCAAGACTCGGTAATTGAAAACTGGATGGAGGTGTGAAACCAATGAGCACTGCTTCTCCCCTAGGTTAGAAATTTAACATCCAGCTCATGATCTGGAGAAGACTGGAACTGGGGGAGGAGTGTCAATGGGAAAGAGTGTCTGTGGTAAATTTCAGATTGAATTTGAGGTCAGTGTTGTGTAGGGAGTGCAGAGTTTGTCTGTGTTTGAGAGCACAGGAGTCTGGAAGTTTTGAGACCCATAGTCCCAGGCTAGTGGTGTTTAGAGACTTGACCTTTGGATGCTGGAAACATTTCTTTTCAGGTTGTCCAGTCCAAGTCCTTTCTCAAAGTTCTTATTAAAAATTCGTCTCGGGTTTCCCTGGCGGCGCAGTGGGTGAGAGTCCGCCTGCCGATGCAGGGGACACAGGTTCGTGCACCGGTCCAGGAAGATCCCGCATGCCGCGGAGCGGCTGGGCCCGTGAGCCATGGCCGCTGAGCCTGCGCGTCCGGAGCCTGTGCTCCGCAACGGGAGAGGCCACAACGGTGAGAGGCCCGCGTACGGCAAAAAAAAAAAAAAATTTGTCTCCTACATACACTCTTATCATTGTCTGCACAAAAATCAGAATAATTCACCGTGGTCAAGTGGTGTGTATCGGAATAAAGACAGGATTTCTGTTCATCTTACTGCAAAGTTTAGTCTTGGATATTTCCTTTCAGATTTCTTTGACACAAGTAAGAACAACCATTTTCCTGAGTTCTACTCCTCAGTGAGAGCCATCTCATTAAAAAAACTTTTTTTCAGGCTACCTTTCTAAAACTTGGGATCATCTGTACGAACATACATTCAAGAATCTGCCTATCGTCTAACATGGCTGTATTTCTTTTGCATTGTCTCTGGCAAATAATCGAAATTCCTGTTACTCCACCTTATCACCAGCATTTCATATTTTCAGTTTTTGGATCTCAGCAAGTCTAATACCTGGGTATTTGTATCACACTGCTGCTTTTTAAAAATTATTAGCATTATTCATATTGCTGTTTTAATTTGCATCTCCCTAACAACAAATGATGCAGACCATCTTTTCATATGCATGTTTGCCATCTGTTATCTTTGATCAAGTGTCTGTTCAAGGTTTGCCTATTTTTGAAATAGGAGTTTCTTGTTGACTTTTCAGAATTCTTTCTATGTTCTGGATACAAGTCCTTTACCAAGTATAGGACTTATAGGATGACTGTGTTGAGATTCTTTTTTTTTTTTTTTTTTGAAAAAAGTGTTAAGGTTTTTTTTTTTTATTATGTGTAACATAGGCAAAATTATTTAAGTCAATAAATTTTTAAGGAATTTCACATGTTCTGATTCTTTCCACTGCCAATCACCTTAGTTCCTCCAAAGTCATAATCTTCAAGATGAGATAGCCCTTTCAAAAGAGAAGTTTTGCTCAATCCACACAGTTCTTTTAGTTGGGCTTCTTTGATCTCCAGTAGAATACAGACACACTTCAAAATTCTCCTCCTGTAATCTTTGGGATCCAATTTCCTCAAGCAGTTTACTTTAGGACCATGTTTAGGGTCAGGAGATGGATCTGCCTGCTTCAGAGTTTGACACCCTCTAAAAATGTATTAAGTTCAACTCATATTCACTCCTAAGCTATCACACCCTAGAACAGTACAGATCATTGGGATATGCCAATACCTTTTTAAAATCCTGACACTGTGTTCTCAAGATAAAAGCCTAAAAAAAGAAGCCATCTTTGTTTCATGTCAACATTAGAGTATGAACTCGATATAGCTGATAATTTAAAAACTTAATATATAAGGGAAATTATCAGCTCTATAGTCCTGGAAGCAATCTTTATGTTTATCAATACACCCCCATCACTTGAATCTGTTTTAGGTATCATGTTCCTTCTTCCCTGTACCAAAACTCATACTAAACAATGAGTTCTGGGTTGCAAAAGAGGATTTTTGCACCTGTCTATAAGGAGAGTCTTTTGGGATTTTTTTTCTCTTTGTTTTTGTTTGTTTCTTGCCTGTGGACTTCCAAGTGTTCCAGCAGCATCTGCTGAAAAAGTCTATCTTTCTCCATTGAATAACCTTTGTATATCTGTCAAACGCTTGAGTATACTTGACTCATGTGGGTCTTTTTCTGGGATCTTTGCTCTGTTCCATTGATCTATGTGTCCTTTCACCAATACTACTAAAGGTTTATAAGTCTTGAAACCTCTTGGTGTGAGCCCTGTATGATGGTTCTTTTTGGTCAGAAGTTGTTTTGCTATTTTCAGTGGAGAAACCTGGCAAATAATACCTTTGCCAGTAGATCAGTGTTGTCATTTTGATATTCTATACCCATAAATATGTGGTGTCTTTTCCAAAATGCATAAATCCCTGTTTAATGAGGAAAACAGACCAACCTAAAAGAAGGTCAATATACAACATACCTGATCGGTACTCCTCAAAATAATTGAGGACATGAAAAAAAGACTGAGGAATGGTCATGGAACAGAGCAATTCAAGGAAACATGATGTCTAAAGGCAGCATTCTTCCCTGGGTTGAATTCTAAGACAGAAAAAGGACAGTAGTGGAAAAATTTGTGAAATCCAAATAGAATCTGTAATTTAGTTGAGTGTCATACCAATGTTAATTTCTAAGTTTGACAAATGTACCATGGTTACATAAAATATTCGCATGAAAGGAAGTCAAATGAAGGTATATGTGCACTCTTTGTAGTACTTTCACTTTCGTGTAAATCTAAAATTTCCCCAAAATAAAAAGTTTATTTAAAATAGGTATAATCTATGTCAGTTATATCTCGGTAAGGCTGTAAAAAAAAAAAGACGCTAATCTAATTTTATCACTTACATTCTCATAAATATTTCCATATTATAAAATGTTTTGTATATCTCTATATAATTAATATTAAGTGGCTGTAATAATATCATGGGTGAACTAGTAGGATGGTAACTTGAGTCACATATAAAAGGTATGCATTAAAGTGGGGTATGCTTGAAAAACATAACATATTCAACTATGTTCACTTTTTATTATGATCCTCTCATTATTGAAATTCTCACTCCAAGATTTGTTGTACTGTTTTTCTTATAAGTCCCAGACATCTCCATTTACTTTTAATCCTAGATAGTTTATAATTTTGCAATTATATTTGATGTCTTTAAAAAAATCCATATGCTATAAATTGTGTACACAACAGCAATTCATTTTAACAGCTTTATGGTCATAATTTACATATAACATTTACCAGTAGTAAGCGTACAACTCAGTGACATTTAGCAAGTTCATAGAATTGTGCCACTATCACCACGATGTAATATTTAGAAATTTTCATAACCCACAAGAAGTAACTGGATAGTTGTTTTGTCATTAAGTTTTGAGAACTCTTGATATATTCTGAATACAAGTCTTTATCAATAGATGTTAAATGTGTCAATATTTTCTCCCAGTCGCTGGCTCTACTCAATACTTTATTAAAGCTGTGCTTAGAAATACAAAAGTTTTTAATTTTAATAAAGTCCAATTTATTATTTTTCCTTTTATGGCTCATACTTTGTCTTGTCACAGAACTCTTTGGCTAACTTAGGTTCCTCTTCGCTTCTCCAAGTTTCATACTTCTACCTCTTAAATTTAGGCCTGTGTTCTATTTCGAGTTAATTTTGTATATGGTTAGAGTTATGGGTCTTAATTTATGTTTTTGCAAATAGGTATACAATTTTTCCAGCATCATTTGCTGAAACAACTAACCCCATGGAATTATCTTAGTGTCTTGACCAAATAGATATTGACCTTAATACTTTTGGACTCCATTCTGGTTGTGCCTTTCTCATTGGTTCCAGACTTTTACTGGCCTCATTTTTAAAGCGGCCTTTCCCCGAGGCTCCAATCCCAATCAAAATTTAGGCTTCATGCCTGCCGCTCTTTTCCTCTTGAACGTGACGGCCTGTTTCACACTGTGCCAGTTTCTCGAAATCTTATTCGGTCCTTAAAAGCCGCTTCCTGCGAGAAATGTTCCTCCAAAGTTTTTGGGGAGATGTCCGATTACCGGATGTACTGCCGTTTCTCATTCCAGGAGTTCGTTCTCTGCTGCTATACCGACACCTGAACCCTTGTTCCTTTTCGAAACCCGCCCCCCTCCTTTTTAAATAAAGGCCTCGGCGATGTTACTTGTCTCCCCAGTGCGTCGAACGCCGTTTAGGTAGCTCCATATTTGCCTCGCAAACCTCGAGTCTCTGAAAATCTGCGAATTTTCCGAAGAGTTGAAGTGACAGGTAATGAAATAATTTCAGTGGCTTCTCACCTCCCGGACCAACCAGGGCTCCCGGCCCCAAACCCGCTCCTTGGCCTTCTGTACGTCAGGTGTCCCAACATGGCCGCCCCGTGGGGCCGCGGAGAGCTGGGCGCTGACATATTGCCTTTCAAGGTAATACCAGAAATCCAGTCCGCGTTTCTTCAAATGCTTCAGACCGTCTTCGGCCGCCGTAGACCGACGAAAAATCTGGGCGACAGGGGCAGAAGTAGAAGCGGTTCGTGGAAGTGTTACGTTTTAGGCTCTGCTTGTGGACTGGAGAAAATCGGGTCAGTGTGTGCATTTGTTCCTTGAAGTTTTGTGGTTTTGTCCCATAGGAGGTTTGTCCCTGTGGACGTGTCGCCCACAGGGTGGAATGGTGTAGTGTGGACTTAACGGAATTATTGAGGGTCTGGTGGGAAGCACTGATGTGGAGGTATTTGAGAGGAACCAGGAGCGTTTGTGACGCCCGTACCTGTCGTTGGGGTACTTTGGGAGCTGTTCGTTAGAACGATTAAGAATCTGTAGAGGGAATTCCCTGGCGGATTCGGCGCTTTCACTGTAGTGGCCCGGGTTCACTCCCTGGTCAGGGAACTAAGATCCCGCAAGCCACGCGGCGCCCCCCCCCCCAAAAAAATCTGTAGAGATCAACGATCGTGACCGGACTGGCCTGATATGGGGGTTTGCGGCTCACTCTATTTCTAAAGGATGCAGGTGGTATTTACGATGGTAAGAGATTCAGATTCGGGAATTAATATGGCGCTCAGAGATGTTGGGGCCTGGCTGGATGGTCATCATATGAGGGTATCTGGCCCAGGTTTCGGATTAATAAGGAAATGTGTAATCAGTGTCTGTGGTACAGAGAGTCTTGTGAGGGCTGAGGCTTTGGTCCCCTAGGAGGCCTGGCTGGTGGTTGCGTTGAGATTCCAACCTAGTAGGCTGGGAAGGAAGGTGGTGCAGCCCGGGACGGTAGTGTAGTTCTAAACCTTCTGCTTTTTAGGCTTTTATCTGCAGACCGAGGGACTAACCCAGCCTCCTCTATGTGTTGTGTATCGTGTATCGCTGTTTTCGCACTGCAAAGGCAGAATTGAGTCCTTGTGACAGATCTTAACCCTCAAAGCAGAAATGTATAGTATCTATCCCTTTGTTACCTACCAGGGCTCTTGGCCTCCTTGGTCCATAGAAATTGATCAAAGGCCAGATAAGAAATTCAGGCCAGGCTTTATTGGGGTCCCTGCTGCAGCAGGGGGGAGCGAGAACCAGTAAGAGGTTCCCTTGCTTGTTCGATCTCTGAGGTGGGTTGGGGGGGGCATCTAGTTCCTTATATGCGGTGAGGGTAGGGGTATGTCCGGGGGTTGGGCCGGAGGGACGGCTTAGATGGTTTGCCCATGCTTTAGGTGGTGTTGTGTGCAAGGGGCATGGCAGTACCCTACTTTTGCTCCGGATCCCCTGCTTTTGCTCTTGGTTCTTCAGAAGTGGCGGTTGGGTTTCTTGATTTCTTTGTATCTTGTTGTCCAGAATTTGGCTCCTCTGTGCATGCACAAAGTTATTTTTAGTCCCTTATAGTTTCTTTGTATTGTGTTGCTGGAGGAGAGGTGTGTCCAGATGCAAGCACTGCAGCAAAGGGTTCCAGGTCCCAGCCTGTCTCACATTTGCAGAAAATGTTTGTCAAGGCTTGCTCTCACCAGCGGCAGTGGACACTTGCTTTTTTGTCTGACATGCGTTCCCACTTTCTTCTTTGCTAACAGAATCGCCGTTTTGTTTAGTTATCCATCCTTCTGACAGAGTGACCCATATCCCAATACTGGTTGGTCTTAGTTAATCCTGGTGGTTCCAGTTCCCGTTGCTAGTGATTGAATTAGTACGAAATAAGTTTAGGTACGTGGTGCAGTTCTAGCCAGCAATATATGTGAAAATCTGCTTGGGGGTTTCTGAGTGAAAATTTTTAAATAGGTATTATAATTCTTTGAATCTCTCTTTCCATGTCAAGGATGATATTATCTGAATATAACCTTAATTTTCTGTCCAGTTTCTAATGTTTATAATTCATTCCTTTTTTTTTAATTAGAAAAAAATTTTTTGGCTGCCACCTAATAGCGTGCAGGAAACTTAGTTTCCCCACCAGGGATTGATCCTGTGCCCCCTGCAGTGGAAGCCTGGAGTCCTAACCACTGGACTCCCAGAGAATTCCCTTGCTGTATATGTTTCAAGGCTATATTTTTAGGTACCTAGAAATGGCAAATTTCTTAAAATGTGGTGAATTGAACCTCTTACTAGTAAGCTTTGTTCCTCTTTCTCTGTAGTAATTTTTGGGCTTTCTGGTGCATTTTTTCAGAGAATATAGATTATCTGTGGTTACTCTTTCCATGGTTTATCTTTTTCTAACCTTTTATTCTCCAGCTGTCCATATCACTATGTTTCAGGCATGTCACCTAGAGTAGCATGTTCTTGGGTTTTATTTTATTTTATTATTATTATTGTTTTGGCCACACTGGACAGCATGTGGGATCTTAGTTCCCTGACCAGGGATCAAACCCAGGCCCCCTGTATTCGAAGTGTGGAGTTTTAACCACTGGACTGCCTGTGAAGTCCTGGGTTTTAAATTTTAATCCAGTCTGACAGTTTCGAGGCATTTGTATTTGATGTAGTTAACTGGAATCTTTGTTCTGTTTATACTGAATATAATTCATTAAAAAAATTTGTTTTATTGGAGCATAGTTGATTTAATATACTTAATATAATTCTTAGTGTTTTGTTTTAAAACAGTCATATAAGTGCACGGTATTTGCCCCACTTGTTCTCTATTCCTTATTCTCTTTTATGCCATGTTTTGAATGAATTTCTTCTTATTCTGTTTCCCCCTTCTGTTAGGATGGAAATTATATACTTTAAGATAATTGTTAGTTTTCATCATGACACTAGAGATTACATATAGTATGGAAGCTTTCTTTGTCAAATTCTTATGTTAGTACTTTTACACTCTTCTCTAACAATACAGGCGTCTTAGAGCATCTCAACTCAATTTACCAGTTTCCAATTTATTTACAATATTGTGTGCTTTAAAAAATGTATTTAAAACCTAAGATATTATCGTTATTGTTTATAAGACAGTGTTTCTGGTTTGCCCAGTACATTGGTTTTCAAACTGAAGTGTGTGTACTCACAGGGTGTATAAAAACGTTTGAAGAGGTTCCTGAGTGCACACGGTTTAAAGGAAAGCAGTGCCCAGCACCTCTCCTCCCATACGCTCCCTTTTGTATAATTGAGCTGCCTGAGAGTCTCCTGCTCCTGAGGCCTGCTGCTGGGATGGATCTCGTTTCTCTCACCTCCTTTTTTTTTTTTAATCTTAGACTATTTTTTTAAATTAATTTATTTATTTTGGCTGTATTGGGTCTTCATTGCTGCACGCGGGCTTTCTCTAGTTGCAGCGAGCGGGGACTACTCTTCGTTGCGGTGCGTGGGCTTCTCATTGCGGTGGCTTCCCTTGTTGTGGAGCATGGGGTCTAGGCACGCAGGCTTCAGTAGTTGTGGCACGTGGGCTCAGTAGTTGTGGCTTGCAGGCTCTAGAGCGCAGGATCAGTAGTTGTGGTGCACGGGCTTAGTTGCTCTGTGGCATGTGGGATCTTCCTGGACCAGGGCTCGAAGCCACGTCCCTTGCATTGGCAGGTGGATTCTTAACCACTGCGCCACCAGGGAAGTCTCCTTCAACTCCTTTGACAGTCACCCCACTTCAACTTCACGGAATAAAGGAATACCCCCACCACAGTCAGAATCTTAGCCTTTTTGGCCAGAGGAATAAAGTCGTCTGGGGTAAAAATGGGACACTTAGCAATGCTGTGGGCATTGGGTTAAGGTGAGTGCCCGGGAGCAGCGTTAGCATCTGGGCCCAGAGGAAATGTACCCTCAGCTTGAATTTTCTCCTCAACCCACAGGTCCTGACTCCCCAGGAGCAAAAGAATCAGTAGAAGGAGGAAGAAGTTACAGGATTTGGTATCAGCATTACTGGGGACATGCTTGATTGAAGACAGGTATCAGAACAGAAATTTAGAGCAGATCCAGAAGACACAGCGACAGAGCCTCCTTGTTGCCAGCTGTTTTTAGAGAACGGAAAAAAATGATCCAGTCCCAGGTGACTTTTGGTTTGTTTTATTCTTTTCTTTGTTCCCGAATGGGTTTGTTAGTTGTCTGAGTCATTCTAGGTAATTATTGCATGTAAGGGTGTCTTGGGGACCCTGGGTGTCTTTGTAGCCTGCTTCTGAAGTGAGGGTGATCCAGGGGACCCTAGAAATTGCAGCCAGTGTCTGAAGCGAGGGCAGTTCTATGGGAACTGTTTCCTCAGGCTTTGCAATATGACTGACTCTTGGTTTCCATGTTCAAATCTGGATTCTTAATCTACCTTTTTTCTTATATTGCTTTTATTTTTGTTCATTACACAGCTGACTTAAGGATATATTTAAAGGCTGAAATCATAACAAAGTACACATATCAAAAAATAAGTTTCTTCTTCATACACTTTAAACATGCTTATTAAACATTTAGTTTCTTATAATTCTGGCTTCTTGAGTACTTCCCAGAAGATTCTGATTAACTGGCTATAAAGATTTAGTCATCCCAATTTCATTGACTTATGTGTTACTTATATATATATATATATATATATATATATATATATATATATATATATATGAATGTGGTGTTTCTAGGTTAACAAGAAGGTTTAACTTTTATACGTTATAGATCGTCTAATGATAAATGGATGGATGACTGACTGCACAGTTATATTTAGTTGGATCCTTGTATTTTATTAGGCTTTTGCTTGTTCCCTGTGCATTAAAAACAAACAACCCGGGGCTTCCCTGGTGGCGCAGTGGTTAAGAATCCGCCTGCCAATGCAGGGGACACGGGTTCGTTCCCTGGTCTGGGAAGATCCCACATGCCGTGGAGCAGCTAAGCCTGTGTACCACAGCTACTGAGCCCGCGTGCCACAACTGTGAGACCCGTGTGCCTGGAGCCCATGCTCTGCAACAGGATAGGCCACCGCAATGAGAAGCCCGCGCACCGCAATGAAGAATAACCCCTGCTCGCCGCAACTAGAGGAAGTTCGTGCACAGCAGTGAAGACCCAACGCAGCCAATCAATCAATCAATCAATAAACAACAACAAAAACAACCCCCTAGATATATAGATCCAGCCTATAAAGTAGAAATGAGAAGAAAAACTTTTAACATTTCTTCCATATCATCAAAAGGACATCACTTCATTAAACACCACTGTTACTATAGGAAACCCTGACGTTTGACGATGTGACTGTGGACTTCACGTGGGAGGAGTGGCAGCTCCTGACCCCTCCTCAGAAGGACCTGTACCAAGAGGTGATGCTGGAGAACTATAGCAACCTGCTGTCTGTGGGTGAGGACGGCTCCCCTGTGCCCTTCAGAGGGTCCCCAGTCAGTGGTGTTTCCTTTCTCGGCTTCTGAAAGCTCTGGAGTGTCTATGATGCTCTGAAGCGGTAGATTTTCAGTCCCCTCTCTGGCCCATGAGAAGTGGGTATTCTCCCTTCTCCTGAGAGCACAGCATTTACTCTGTAGGTCGTGAAATCGTTTTGTCCTCAGCTGTAGCATTCTGTCTTCACAGACCCCAAGCCCAATTCACTGGGTCTAAATATTCTATCATTTCTGGTGAATAGGTTATCAAGCCAGAAAGCCAGACGTACTCTCTAATTTGGATCACGGAGAACCATGGATGATAGAAGATGAAATCCACTGTCGAACCCATTCAGGTGAGTGAGAGACCAGCAAGGTGACAGGCGTGGAAATCACACTATAGTTGGTCAGAGAAGAGTCACAGCTGTGAGGGGGTTGGACGCTGGGTAAGCAGTGCCTCCATGCATCTCTCTCCCGATGTCAGACCTCTTTTTCTTTGTAGGAGTTTAGAGAAAAATATATCCCTTCTTAGGGAAGACTCTTGTCTTTTCCGGGATCTGTTTCTTCTTTATTTTACCCCCATCTTGATTTTTGTTTACATAGTTTTCTTTTCCCTAGGATTCTCATATCTTTTCCTTCTTCTTCATACACTTCCACCTCCTTTTCTATGAAACTCCACCTTCCAAGGCCTCTCTCCAAAGAGAAAACTTTGAATTCCTCACTGTGTTCTAGCTGCTGCACCTTTCTGTCCCACTGGTAATGTTGATTTCCTTTGTCACATTCACCCCATGTTGGCTGCCGGTCCCAAAAGTAAACTGGTCTTCACTGTGCCTTGTCCCCGCTCTGAGGTTCTCCAAAGGTTTTGTTTTCCATTTTTTCCAATGATCTTCTAACCTTCAAAGTTTTCTTCATTGTCATAAGCTAAGCTCCTTAGGGTCACTGGAGAAGACTCCCAAATTCATCTGTCCCCAGTGTGCTCCACTACAGACTTGGGACCTATATAACTTACTCATCTTGATGGCAGCTCTCCTGGGTTCTGAATAACTGCCAGGACCCAGGATCATCTTCCCTCCCAGAAAACCACTATAAGTTTACATTCTCCCTTACTCTTATGCAGCCTCCATCCTGGCCATTCAGGCATTACCTCATATGTTCCCCATCTGCAGAGCTCTCTTATATAAATGCGTCTGCTGTTCGTGATGAATTTTTAACTAGGGACGTTATCTTAGCATCCTACGTTCTCAGTTCCGGTCTCAACCTGATCATAACTCTTCCTTATTTCAAATTAATTCCTTTGTGTATTTATTAGTTTTGAACTTTCTTCTCGTTGATTGTAGACCTTACTGTCTTCATTTCCCTAAAATTTTCATTTTTCTTTCCATTGTATTCTGATGACATTTATCCCAGCTAATCAAGTTACTTGGCAGTTAAAATTCTTCTTCTGTCCATGAACTCCATGATATGACATCATCATGCTCACAAAGAGATATATTTCCACCCTCTTTCTTAAATTCTCCCGAATGTGTTCCATACATGTGATTGATATTTTGATTCATTCCTCTACATTTTTTTGATAGCCTGTTGTATGCTGGAAGGTAAGACCAGTGAAAAACAGTATACATATAGATCACAAGTTTTAGTCTAAGAGAAAGGAGTCAAGAAATTAATCAAGTGTTTTGGGGGCTGGTGGTGTGGGATAAAAAAGAATAAAAATAAACAAATAATATATCTAAGGGGTGAAAAGTGCTGTGATAAAGATTAAGGAACATAAATTATTAGAGAAATGCAAATCAAAACTATAGTTAGGTACCACCTCACACCAGTCAGAATGGCCATCATGAAAAAGTCTACAGGGAATTCCCTGGCGGTCCAGTGATTAGGACTCCATGCTCTCACCGCCAAGGCCCCGGGTTCAATCCCTGGTCGGGGAACTAAGATCTCACAAGCTTGTGGGGTGGCCAAAGAAAAAATGTCTACAAATAACAAACGCTGGAGGAGGTGTGGAGAAAAGGGAACCCTTCTACGCCGTTGGTGGGAGTGTAAATTGGTGCAGCCACTATGGAAAACAGTATGGAGGTTCCTCAAAAAACTAAAAACAGAGTCACCATATGACACAGCAATCCCACTCCTGGGCATATATCCAGCCAAAACTATAATTCAAAAAGATACATGCACTCCTGTGTTCATAGCAGCACTGTTCACAATAGCTAAGACATGGAAACAACCTAAATGTCCATTGAGAGATGAATGGATAAACAAGATGTGGTACATATACACAGTGGAATACTACTCAGCCACAAAGAAAGAATGAAATAATGCTATTTGCAGCAAAGTGGATGGACCTAGAGATTATCATACTAAGCGAAATAAGTCAAAGAGAAAGGCAAATACCATATTATATCAATTATAGGTGAAATCTAAAATACGACACAAATCAGCATATCTACAAAGCAGAAACAGACTCACAGACATAGAGAACAGACTTGTGGTTGCCAAGGGGGAGGAGTGGTGGGGGAGGGATGGAATGGGAGATTGGGGTTAGCATATGTAAGCTATTACATGTGAAATGGGTAAACAACAGGGTCCTACTGTGTAGCACAGAGAACTATATTCAATATCTGTGATAAACCATAATGCGAAAGAACATGAATAAGAATATATACACATACCTGAATCACTTTGCTATACAGAAGAAATTAGCACAACATTGTATATCAACTATATTTCTCTAAAACTTAAAGAAACAAAACTTTAGTCAGCATAACAGACGAGTAGGTGCTGGGGCTCCTCTTTAGGCTGGGAACACCTCTCAGATAAGGTGCCTCTGAGCCAAGAAATGTGGGAAGTTAGTAGGCTGCCGGGTTAGGAGTTTTCCAAGCAGAGAGGTTAGCGGGTTTAAAAGGCTGAGCCACGAATGAGTTTGAGAAACATTAAGGAGCCTGTGTGGACAGAGCAGAGTGTGTTTTCTGGAAAATGATGGGTATAAGGCCAAAGAGGCAGTAGCAGTGGGGGCAGGGTGGGGGTGGGGGTAAGATTGGTCACGTATTCCATTTCAAGGAAGCGTGATTTTACTCCCTAATAAGGTGAGAAAACACGAGGAGAGGACTTCCCTGGTGGTACAGTGGTTAAGAATCCGCCTGCCAATGCAGGGGACACAGGTTCGAGCCCTGGTCCAGGAAGATCCCACATGCCATGGAACAACTAAACTCGTGCGCCACAACTACTGAGCCTGCGTTCTAGAGCCCGCAAGCCACAACTACGGAAGTCCACGTGCCTAGAGTCCATGCTCCGCAACAAGAGAAGCCACCGCAATGAGAAGCCCGCACACCAAAAGGAAGAATAGCCCCTGCTCGCCGCAACTAGAGGAAGCCTGCACGCAGCAACAAAGACCCAGCGCACCCCAAAATAAATTAATTAATTGATTAATTAAAAAAAAAAACACGAGGAGTTCTTGAGTACTGGAATGACATGAAATAATTTACATTTTTCAAGGAATCCTTTTGGCCTCTGTGTAGAAAGCAGACCATAGCGGGCAGGGGGCAAACAGGAAAGCCTTGTAGGAGGCTATTGCAAAAAACATGGTGACTGCGAGAATGGTTGGCTGCAGCATGTGTGGAGGGTTCAGTGTTGATGAGGTTCTGGATATGCTGCATGTAGAGGGCAAATGAGATTTGACATTACGTAAATACAGGCTGGGAGAGGAAAAAATTGATGAAGATTGTTGGTAAGTTTGATACTGAATGCAAGACCGTGTGCCTGAAGCACAGTGAGGTCAAATACTGAAACGTCGGAGTTGGGAGCAGAGAAGGGTTTACTGCCTGACTGTGCCAGGAGTCAGGTGGCTCATGCCTTAAAAAGTCTGGAACTCCTTGAAGGCTTTCAGCAAAGCCCTTTTAAAGGCAAGGTGAGGGAGGGACCTGGGTAGTTATTGCACACTTCTTGGTGGTGTTGGATTCTTTGTTCTTCCAGCTGTCATGTAGGTCAGGTCATGGTCAGGTCACCATCTTTTTGTAAACCTTGAACAAGACAAATGTTATTCTCTGTTCAGGTCAGGTCACGGATGTTCTTGTATATTTTAAGCTATAGGCAGCATTCTTTTACAAAATGTACAGAGCCAGCATGACTAAGTACAGGCAACAGAGCACGACGGTTAAAGTGAGGTTAAAGTAAAAGGAACAGATCTGATATGGAGTCAGATTTGTTCTTCCCTATTACAAAAGCAGAGCAGTTCCTCAAGGGATGTTAATGTTTCATGGCACATGGGTCTCAAGTTCACATGGGTCTCAAGTTCACATAGGACTTTGATGGTTCTCCATAGAGGTGATGTGGTGAGTGTGGTCCTTAACTGCAGTCCCTAACTGTCCTTCTCATAAATGTAAAAACATGTTTCCTACAGCTGTTTCTTCATTTTATCTAATATGATATTAATCCTGCCTAATCTACACACATGCATCAGTCTGTGTCCATATGTGTCCATATATATTCTTTAAAGAATAATTTCTTTACAGATTTGATCATCTAATAACCTCTTGTGCTCTATACATGTTTTATACAGTTCCTTTTGTTTCATTTAGTATATTAACTACTGAAATTAGCATGTATTGTGATCCTGGCATCTGGAGTCTCTTCATCACTGGTTTTGGTATTGGCTCACATGCTAATGGTGAATTCAGGAATCTGCATTACTCGCGTACTTGTAAGAGTCATAGGGTTCAGTATTGGTAAATAGATGCTTATGAGGCGATAGACAGTATGTATCGGCCTCTGCCCCGTCCCTGGCACAGAGCCCCTAAAACCTTGTGATTCCCCAAGTGATTAGAACACTAGGAACATGTCCTGTTTTAATACTGGCCTTTGACCTCTGTTCCTGACGCAGGGCTCCTGAAACTCTTGTCATGTCCTGGGTGACAGGAGTTAACTTTGTTCTAGCAAGGTGACTCTGAGTGGGCTACTGGATGAGGGCTGGTCACCAGAATGACCAAGCCGTGGTGAGAAGCTTGTCCTTTTTATCCCCACACCCTGTTCTCTTGAGAAGGGAGAAGGGTTGAAAATGGAGTTACTGATTGATCATGCTTACATGATGAAGACTCCATGAAATCCCCAAACTATGATGTTCAGAGAACTTCTGGGTTGGTGAACATGTGGACGTGCCCCAAGATGGTGTGGAAGCATGGCACCCCTTCCCACATATCCTTCCCTACACATCTCTTCCATCTAGATATTCACCCGTATCCTTTATCATAGCCTTTAATAAAGTGGTAAACATAAGATCTCCAGAGTTCTATGAGCCCCTCCAGCAAGTGAATTGAACCCGAGGAGGGTGTTATTGGAACCTCTGATCTATAGCTGGCTGGTCAGAAGCACAGGTGATAACCTGGATTTGTGATTGGTGTCTGAAGTGGGGGTTGCGAAGTCTTACGGAACTGAGCCCATAACCTGTGGGATCTGGCGCTATCTCTGGGTAGATAGTGTCAGAATTGATTTAAATTATAGGATACCCAGCTGGTAGGGCAGAGAATTGCTTGTTCTGGGGAAAAAGTCTCCACACATTTGGTGACCAGAAGGGTCAGAAACGAAATGTTCTGTGTGGGTAATAAAGGGGACTCGCAGGGAAGAAGCACACAGTGGAAAAGAACTGGGTTTTTCACTACACAAGAAGGAAACGAAACTGGGTTTTTCCTTTACAAATGCTCACATATATAGAGATTGCACATGTTTTTACATCAGCTAGAGGAATTAACGGTACATTGCCGAAACTTCTTTGAATTTTCAACTTTAGTTGAACGAATGGAAGACTGCACAGTAACGTAATATCTTACTAGCTTTCTTACTCTATCACGCCGTGTGAAGGAAAAAACCCCACTAATTTCCCATATGGCAAAAGTGAGCAGAATAATTTCCTTTACATTTTTCCATATTACCCAAAGGACATCACTTCGCTAAATAAGACCATGTTATGACAGGAATCCCTGACATGACGATGTGGCTATGAAGTTCACATGGGAGGAGTGGCAGCTCCTGGACCCTGATCAGAAGGACCTGTGCCGGGATGTGATGCTGGAGAACTATAGCAACCTGCTGTCCGTGGGTGAGGACGGCTCCCCTGGGTCCCTCAGAGGGTGCCCGTCAGTGGCCGTTCCATTCTCAGCCTCAACTCTTCAGACTAACTGCATTCGTCTGCAATGGTCGAGTCTCAGATCCTTCTCTTGCCCCAGACTAGAGGGTATAATAGCCCCTCTCCTGAGAGAAAAGCCTTGAGGTTACAGATGTGAAACCTGTTTATTCCCTCCATGTACCATTATCCTTTCCTGCCGTATCCCAGCCCAGTTCAATATGTCTAAGTCTTCTATCATTTTTCATGAACAGGGTATCAAGCCAGCAAACCAGATGCTGTCTCCAGGTTGGAACGAGGAAGATGGCCAGTAGAAGATGACTGCCACAGTCGAATCTGTCCAGGTGAGTGGGTGAGACCCAGCAAGGTGGGCAGCCAGGGAAGTCGTACTCTGGTCAGGAGAGAAGGCATCAGAACTGTGATAGTGTCTGAGGAAACATAAGCAGCCCTACCACATACCTCTCTTCCAGTGTAAAAACTCTTTTTCCTTGTAGAAGTTAAGAGGAAAATATATCACTTTGTTCTCTTTTGAGATCTGATCCCTGTTTATTTCATATGCATCTTGTTTTTCTTTAAATAGTTTTCCTCTTCCTAGGATTTTCAAATCTCCCTCTTCTTCATTCACCATCACAGGATCTCTGTGTTACCACTTGTCTTGCTGTGAAATTCCACTTTCCAGGCCTCTCTGGAAAGAGCGAACTTTGAATTTATCACTCTTCTTACTACTGTACCTTCTTCCTGCCCAGCTAGGAAATAATGATTTCCCACCATAACATCCAACCCCACCTCGGATGCTAGAAAAGATGTTTTTACCAGGCTACATGTTAGAACTAGGTCATAACTTCTGTCTGCTTCAAATAATTTCCTTCATAGTTTAGCTAATTCAGATTCTCCTGTAGTTCTTAGATGTTATCATTGTATTTATTTTCCTAAAGCTTCTGTTCTCACTCTATATTTTTTAACAGTTTTATTTAGATTTAATTCATATAATATCAAACAATTTATCCATTTAAGTTATATAATTCAGTGGTGTTTTATTATATTCACATAGTTGTGCAACCATCACCACCATCAGTTTTGGAGTATTTTATATGCATATATCCTTCTAGTAGCCTTTATTATTATAGCTTTGCCGTAAGCTTTGAAATTGGAAAATGTAAATCCTCCAACTTTTTCAAGCCTATTTTGAGTATTGTGGAGCCTTTGAATTTCCATCTGAATTTTCGAATGAGCTTGTGAAATTCTGCAGAAAAAAAAATTTGCCTGGGATTTTGATAGGGATTATATTGAACTGTATGTCAATTTGGGGAGTCATTCCATCTTAACCATATTTAGCATTCTGTTCCATGATCATTGAATCTTTTAAAATCTAATTAGGCCTTTAATGTCTTCCACAATGTTTTTTTAACTTTCAGAATATAAGTTTTGTATTTCCTTTCTTAAATTTATTCCTAAATAAATTGGTATTCTTTTATATATTATAGTAAACGGAATTGTTTCTTGATTGCATTTTTAGATTATTCATTGCTAGAATGTAGAAATAAAATTGATTAATTTCTTGTCATATTCTGATGACATTTAGTCCCAGTTAACCCTGTTTCCTGCCATATGTGATTACACTTTCTCTTTCAATGATCCCGTGATATGATATCATCTTACTCATAAAGAGTAAAGAGTTTTTGTCCTCTTCTTTTTTTTTTTTTTTTTTTTGTCTGCGTTGGTTCGTAGCTGCGGCATGCAGGATTTTCCTTAAGGCATGTGGATCTTTCATTGCGGCACACGGCTTCTCTCTAGTTGTGGCGTGCAGGTTTTCTCTTCTCTGATTGTGGCACGTGGGCTCCAGAGCGTGTGGGCTCTGTAGTTTGTGGCACGCGTGCTCTCTAGTTGTGGCGCTTGAGCTCAGTAGTTGTGGTGCGTGGGCTTAGTTGCATGTGGGATCTTAGTTCCCCGACCATGGATCGAACCCGCGTCGCCTGTATTGGAAGGTGGATTCTTTACCACTGGACCACAAGGGAAGTCCCCTAAGTATTCTTAATATGTTCCATACATATGATTGCCTTCTGCAATTGATGTGCTAGCTTTACTCCTTTAAAACTTGCATTTTGAGAGCCTAATAGCATAATAGTTTTGAAGCTAATAGCAATACAAAACAGGAAAAAAATATATATCTTGTCCCTTCACACAGAGTACGTTCTAAATTGAAATACTCTATAATGAATAATAAACAAATGCATAACTAACATGTCTTAGTGTAAAAATTGCTGTAAGGAAAATTAAAGTAGCTAATGGAAGAGTGGGTGTTGGGGCTTGGAACTGCCCTTTTAGGAATGGGAGTGGCAATCTGATAAGGTGCCTTTGAGCACACAGATGAGGGATATGACTAATCTTCCTTGGTGAGGAGTTTTCCAAATGTGAGACAGTGGGAAGTTGAAAGACCCGAATCTGGAATGTGTTTGAGGAACTTCGGGGAAACTTACATGGGTAGAAGGGAGTGAACAAGAGGGAAAATGACTAGAGTTAAGGGTAACAGGGTAGTAGCTGCGGGTTTTGGTACATAGGTCACAAACTGCCTATCAAGGGCATTCAAGACCTTGATTCTTTTCTGAATAATTTGAGAAAACAGGATTTTGAGTAGAAGAGTGGCATTATACAATTTTTAAAGTGGATCACTTTGCCTACTTTATAGAAAGTAGGCATTATTTGGGAGGGGAATGTACTTTTATACTCTTGGTTACAATGTGTGACAATAAAATAATACAGATTGAAGTCATCAAAGATCAAATGTGCATGGGAAAGACTCCAGGAGAGGCTGCACATAAGGTTCCCGGTTGTCCTCTACCAGTGGAGTCATGTGAACAGTGCTGAATTTTCCCAGCAATGATGTTTGAATGTTTGATAACACGTGTGAAGTGTTGCCAACCAGGGAAGCTCACCCAAGCCTGCTGTCTCTAGACCCCAGAATCAGAATGTTAGTGTTGTCCAAAGCCTCAGGCATACAAAAAACGGGCATCTACCACAAATCACATTGTTAGTATAAACGGTATGTTATGGCTTCAGACCTCATGTCTAAAAAGACACTCTTATTAGGCAGCATATCAGGGACTCAGAGGTTATCTTCCAGTCATCAGTCATGGCCACTCATTTCTTTGCAAGATGCAGGGATGGAGTAACTGCATACCAACGTTCCCTTTTTACATAGGAACATAGGGTATGTTCCAGCTAGACTATTAGTTGGAATCTTGGTTACAGAAGCTTTCTTCTAAATTTGAGGTTAGTTGGGATTAGCAGATGCAAACTATTTTATGTAGACTTGAATAAACAATACAGTACTATTGTATAGCACAGGGAATTATATTCAGTATCCTGTAGTAAACCATAATGGATAAGAATATAAATATATATATTTATGTATGTATAAATGAATGACTTTGCTGTACACCAGAAACTAATACAATATTTTAAATCAGCTACACTTCAATAAGAGAAATTCTAAAATATTCAAATTAGTGCTTTGGTAGGGTTAGGTGAATGGTGGTCTACAGAATGAAGAAGGATGGCAAGATGCTAGACTATGATAACCAGTCTTTCAGTAGTCTGTCACACTTACCTTGAAATCAGATGCTGAGATCCACATCTTACTCATCATTGTATTTTGTTCTATATACCTGGATCTTCAGGGTACCCGTGATCACAATACTCAATGTTCGGTTCTCTTAGGTAGGCTTAATTGGATTCCAAACTCTACATGTTGGAATGGCTAAAGCCTTGGCCCTGTGCCTTCACCTTATTCTACATGTTTCTAAACACAGTCTCATCCAGTTCTCTATCTTTGAATAATCTATATTGATGATATCCACATTGCTATTTTCAGATAAAACCTTTTTAAAGATTTATATATTCAACCTGTTCATGTTTATATAGTACTTGGGTATGTAATAGTCATCTTTTTTTTAAATTAATTAATTTATTTTTGGCTGTGTTGGGTCTTCGTTGCTGCGTGTGGGTTTTCTGTAGTTGCAGAAAGCGGGGTCGACTCTTCGCTGCGGTGCACGGGCCTCTTTTGTTATGGAGCAGAGGCTATAGGCACACGCTGCAGTAGTTGTGGCACATGGGCTTAGTTGCTCTGTGGCATTCGGATCTTCCCAGACCAGGACTTGAACCCATGTTCCCTGCATTGGCAGGCGGATTCTTAACCACTGCACCCCCAAGGAAGTCCCTGTAATAGTCATCTTAAACTTTGTTTCACAATGCGTGCTAGATTTTCCTCTCATTCTGGACTTCAGTAATATTCCTCACATTATTAAGAGGCATTCCACCTACCCAGTGGCTGAAACCACATAATTCTTGAAATAATCCTTGAGTCTTAACCTCTTCCGTGCTTCTCCCATTAAGTCCATCAGTGAACCTTGTCTTTTCTTTGAACATATCCTGATTTCCTCCACCTCTTACATATTCATTGCTCCTTTAACCGTGATTCACAGGCTGCAATTGCCTTCTTTATTCCTTTGCTTCAGTGGTCTGTACATAGAATTAAACCAGGGTGTCCTAAATTTTGACTCATTTCTGATACTATCTATGTGGAAATAGTGTCAGATTCTACAAGTTAAGGGTTCAGTCCCACATGGTTGTCCCAATGTCAGATGTCAATTGCAAGTCCAGATTGTTACCTGTGCTTCTGACCAACTGGCTGTAAGTTGGAGGTTCCCATGACCCGCTTCTTGGGTTCAGTTAATTTCCAAGGGTGGCTCTGAGAACTGAGAAACATTTACTTATGTTTATAACCAAGTGAAGAGGTACAAGGTCTGAAATGAAGAGGTACAAGAAGGCAAGGTCTGAAGGATTCCTGAATGCGGGAGCTTCTTTCCCCAGAACTGGGGATCACCACCCTCCTGGCACATGGATGTGTTCACCCATCCAAAGGTTGAGCAAATTTTGTTAAGAGTTCTTATAGAGCTTTAATATCTAGGCCCTCTCTCCTTTCTCAGAGGCCAGTGGGTGGAGCTGAAAGTTCCAACCTTCTAATCACTTAGTCTTTCTGGTGGTCAGTCCCATCCTGAGGTTATGTAGGAACCCTATGCTAAGTCACCTCATTAGCATCCTAAACACTTAGGAAATTACAAGGCTTTAGGAGCCCTGTGGAGGAAGACCAAATATATTTCTTTTTATACCACACATAGAATTGTCACTAAATAGTTACTTCACATGAAGGCAATTTTTGAAACAGTTTTCTTCCAAATTAAGATTATGAGAGATTGCGGAATGATTCCTTGTTCTCTTCTTTCCTAGAAATCAGGAAAGTTGATGACCTTCTGCAGCATCACTTGACAAATCACAGCATTCAAAATACTGTGGAACAATGCTGCGAACATAATACATTTGCAAATATTGTAAATCAGAGCGAAAGTCATTTCCTGTTAAAGCAAAATTGTGATATGTTTGACTTAACTGAAAAACCTTTAAAATCAAATATAAGTTTTGAAAACCAGAAGAGAAGCTGTAACTTAAAGAACTCTGCTGAGTTTAATGGAGATGGGAAATCCCTTCTCCATGCTAACCATGAGCAATCTTTTACTGAAATTAAATTTCCTGTAAGTGCAAAACCCATCAGCAATAACTCCCTGTCCACTAAGCAACAGAGAACTCACAACATAGAGAAAGCCCATGTATGCAGTGAGTGTGGGAAAGCCTTCTTCAAGATGTCTCAGCTCTTTGATCATCAGAGAGTTCATACTAGAGAAAAACCTCATGGATGCAGTCTGTGTGGGAAAGCATTCTCCAGAAAATCCAGGCTCACTGAACATCAAAGAACTCATATCGGACTGAAACATTATGAGTGCACTGAATGCAATAAAACCTTCTTCAAGAAATCGCAGTTCAATAAACATCAGAAAAGTCATATGGGAGAGAAACCTTACACATGTAGTGAATGTGGGAAAGCATTCACCACAAAGTGTCTGCTCATTTATCATCAGCGAACTCATACAGGGGAGAAGCCCCATGGATGCAGTCTGTGTGGAAAAGCCTTCTCTACAAAGTTCAGTCTCACTACACATCAGAAAACTCATACAGGAGAGAAACCTTACATATGCAGTGAATGTGGAAAAGGCTTCATCGAGAAGAGGCGTCTTATTGCACACTGTCGAACTCATACTGGTGAGAAACCCTTTGTATGCAGTGAATGTGGGAAAAGTTTCACCTTGAAGAAGAGTCTTATTCCACATCAGCGAACTCATACTGGAGAGAAACCCTATACATGCAATGATTGTGGAAAAGGCTTCACCTTGAAGAACCCTCTCATCAGACATCAGCGAACTCATACAGGAGAGAAACCCTATGTATGTATTGTATGTGGAAAAGGCTTCACCATGAAGGGTGATCTCGTTGTACATCAGCGAACTCATATTGCAGAGAAGCCATTTATATGCAGTGACTGTGGGAAAGGCTTCACTGTGAAGAGCCAACTGATTGTACATGAGCGAACTCATACCGGAGAGAAACCCTACGTGTGCGGTGAATGCGGAAAAGGCTTTCCAGCCAAGGCCCGCCTGATTGGACATCAGCGAACACACACAGGAGAGAAACCCTATGTATGCAGTGATTGTGGAAAAGGCTTCATTCAGAAGGGCAATCTCATTGTACATCAGCGAACTCACACAGGAGAGAAACCCTATGTATGCAACGAATGTGGCAAAGGCTTATCCGCGAAAAGGAAGCTCGTTGCACATCTGCGAACTCATACTGGAGAGAAACCATATATATGCAATGAATGTGGCAAGGGCTTCACCGTGAAGAGTACTCTTGGTACACATCAGCAAACTCACACTGGAGAGAAACCGTACAAATGCAACGAGTGTGGTAAAGCCTTTAAGAAGAAGACATGCCTCATACGACATGAGAGATTTCACTCAGGAAAGACTTCTTTGCATGTACTGAATGTGGAAAATTCTCTTTGTGCAAAAATGATCTCATTACCCGTCAGAGAATTCACACAGGAGAGAAGCCATATGAATGCAGTGAATGTGGGAAAACCTTCACCACAAAGTCAGGGCTCAGTGTTCACCAAAGAAAACATACAGGAGAGAGGCCCTATGGATGCAGTGAGTGTGAGAAAGCTTTTGCCCACTTGTCAATCCTTGATAAACATAAGAGAATTCACAGGTAGTCACTTTGGGGAAGGCTGTTGCCGGTTGTAGACCCTCAAGATAATAGTATGCAGAGAAGAATCACAATGCAAAGAATGTGGTATTATCTTTAGTGATCAAGTACCTCATATTTTATATTGATGAAAAAATTTACAAAACTACTCGGATACAATCAGCCTTGGTGAAAATATTTTAGGACATTCTATGTCTAAAAAGTATATACTGAGATAAAGCCTATGAGTGTGAAAGACTAGGAAAGCCTTCAGTGGAAATAAACCCTATCATATGTGATCATCATAGATCATGAATGAATGAATGTTTCTAATTGGTAGAAGTATAATTGTGGGAAAGCCTTTGCCCAGAAGTAATACCTCAACAGATGTCCGTTATCACTAGAGAAATACTTTCCTGTGGAAATGAATATGGCAGGGTTTGCAGTAGTAAATATTGCTTTATCATTTGCCAGGAAATCCGTGCAGAAACCCATTCTATATGGTGGACGTTAACAAAATATCAGACAACTTAATGAAGGAAAGAAGCCTTGGGGAAATGATGAATGAGAGCATTCTGTTACAAGTCTTAAGGGATACTACACCTCACAAGCAACTGAAGGATACCTTCAGCCATATTTCTAGTTTCCTTGTCATTGATCTTATAAATTTTACATAGTGGCAGTTACTCTCAACATGGATTGAATTTTCATTATTTAACTTCTGCATTTCTTTGGTTCCAAGTTTGTGTTATTTCAGAATATTTGAAGTACTTCAAAATGAAAAATGTACTCGTTTCTTAAGTATAACAACAGATCTGGATGTGTTTAACCAAGTTTGTAAGTACCATCAGGGGGTTTATAAAATTAATATAAATGTGATGTTTTTATAACTTTTAATTTTGAAGTAAGTTTAGAATCACAAAAACAAACATTCCAGAGATTTCCTAAATGCCCTTCAGCCCACTACTCCCAAAGGTAAAATCTTATAATAACCACACAGTTTACTGTGTGGTTATATAAGGTCAAATAGAGGAAAGTGAAATTGTTACAGTGCTGTTAACTACAGGGTTTATTTCGATTGCACCAGTTTTAACATGTAGTAGTTTTTGTTTGGTTTTTATATATCTCCTTAAGAAACTTCATCACATATGTAGGTTCCTGTAACCAACACCCCAGTAAAAATTTAGAATGCTTTGTCAACACAAACTCCCTCATGCTACATCCTCATAGTCACATCCTTTCCCCGACACTAACCCTTGACATCACAGATCTTTTTGTATCCATAATTTTGTCATTTATAGAATATTAGAAAAATAGGGCCTCCCTGGTGGCGCAGTGGTTGAGAGTCCGCCTGCTGATGCAGAGGACACGGGTTCGTGCCCCGGTCCGGGAAGATCCCACGTGCGCGGAGCGGCTGGGCCCGTGAGCCATGGCTGCTGAGCCTGCGCGTCCAGAGCCTGTGCTCCGCAACGGGAGAGGCCACAGCAGTGAGAGGCCCGCGTACTGCAAAAAAAAAAAAAAAAAAAATCATTTAGGATGTATCCTTTTGAGGTTGACTGTTTGACCTTGTGAAATTGTAGAAAATAGACATATTGGTCTCTGCCCCTAGTTTCTGGCACAGAGCTTCTGAAACCCTTGTAAATTTCTACATAAGAGTGTGTGGAGCATCTCCTACTCTATTGATGTGATTCTAGGTGGGCTCCTGGATGGGGGTTGGTCACCAGAGAGATCCAGCCATGATTAGAAGCTTGGACTTTTCAGCCCACTCCCCATCTTCCAGAGAAGGGAGAGGAGATAGAACTGGAGTTACTAATTAATCATGCCTATGTAAGGAAGTCTCCATAAAATCCCAATAGTAGGAACTTTGGAGAGCTTCTACATCGGTGAACACATTCAGGTATGGGGAGAGTAACACACCACAGCACAGGGACAGAAGCTCCTGTGCTTGGGACCCTCCCACATCTTGCCCTATTTTTGTCATTTAGCTGTTCATCTGTATCCTTTATCATATCCTTTAATAAACTGATAAACGCAAGTGTTTCCCTGAGTTCTGTGAGCCATTTAGCAAAACTAATTGAACCCAAAGAAGAGGTTTTGGGAATCTCCGGTTTGTAGCCAAGTCAGACAAGTTGTAGGTAACTTGGGCACCTGCTGCGTGTGATTGACATCTGAAGTGGGGTGGAAGCAGTCTTATGGGACTGAGCCCTTAACCTGTGGGATCTGACACTATCTCCAAGTAGACAGTGTTAGAACTGAGTCACAGTTAAGGACCCAGTTGGTGTAGTGAAGAATTGCTTGGTGTGGTTAAACGCCCCACCCCGATATTTGGTGACAGACGTGTCAGAAGTGTTGCAAGTGTGGCAGTAGCACGAGTAAAAGAAATACAACTATGGATTTTTCTACTATAGACCTCAAGTAAATTCAACCTTGGATCCATCCAGAAGCTCTCTGCACATCCTTTCTGCCACAAGAATATCAGAGTTCATGCAACTGGCCGTACCCAAGGTATTCCTGCCTAAGGGTTCAAGGGCACCATCAGTTTGCTGGTTTTGCTGAAACTGATGACTGAAATGCATCTCATACCACGTTGGCCTTGGATAGGTGCCGGCCTCTGAAAATTTAATTTAGCTCTATGCCTGTGACCATTTCTTGCAAAGACAGGAAGGCAGTGGGGTGCCCATAAGACATTTCTGTGTCTTCCCACCCAGCCAAGTGATAGCAGCCGTTAAAGCTGCTCCCGTCCTAAATGCCAAAACCTCTGTGAGGTCATGGAGCCATGTGATGTCATAGGACCTGTGCACGGCCAGAACTCGGACTTCTGAAGCTAACCCAGAGCCCTCGCCAGACACACTCCTCCCAGGCGCTTGGCTTCCCTAGCAACAGCTACAGAAGCACTTCAGGGAGAACACATCACAATCAGAAGTGGTTTTAGGCCGGGTTCAGCCTTTGGCATCTTCCAGAGGAGTCTTCAGAGGCTCAAGATATGCTGAGCCTGATTCTGGGTGAGGATTCCCAGTGAGGGGCCTTTGGGGTCGGTGAAGAGGAATGCGTGTCAATGACTGTGTTTGGGGTCTATTTGGGTTGAGTCACTGAGGAATCTGGGCGTTAGTGATGGAGCCTTAAATTAAGGCTTAATCTGAAGTGTTTAATGATTGAAGGTCCTGTTGGTCAGAGTTTAGGGTCTATATGTTAGGTCTGCAAGATTCGGTAATTGAAAACTGGATGGAAGGTGTGAAACCAATGAGCACTGCCTCTCCCCTAGGTTAGCGATTTAATATCCAGCTCATGATATGGAGAAGCCTGGAATTGGGGGAGGAGTGTCAATGGGAAAGAGTGTCTGTGGTAAATTTCAGATTCAATTTGAGGTTAGTGTTGTTTAGGGAGTACAGAGTTTGTCTGTGTTTGAGAGCACAGGAGTCGGGAAGTTTTGAGACCCATAGTCCCAGGCTAGTGGGTGTTTAGAGGCTCAACGTTTGGATCCTTCCCCAAGGTTCCTGTTAAAAATTTGTCTCCTACATACACTCTTCTCATTGTCCCCACAAAAATCAGAATAATGCACCGTGGTCAAGTGGTGGAATAAAGACAGGATATTTGTTCATTTTACTGCAAAATTTACTCTTGGACATTTCCTTTCAGATTTGTTTGACACAAGTAAGAACAACCATTTTCCTGAATTCTACTCCTCAATGAGAGCCATTTCATTGAAAAAAAATTTTTTTTCAGACTACCGTTCTAAAACCTGGGATCATCTGTATAAACATACATTCAAGAATCTAGCTATCTTCTAGGCTGTATTTTTTGCATTGTGTCTTGCAAATAATAAAAGTTGACGTTATTTCATCTTATAACCAGTATTTCATATTTTCAGGTTTTTGAATTTCAGCAAGTCTGATAGTTGGGTATTTGTATCATATAGCTGTTTTTTTGTTTGTTTTGTTTTTTGCGGTATGCAGGCCTCTCACTGTTGTGGCCTCTCCTGTTGCAGAGCACAGGCTCCGGACGCGCAGGCTCAGCGGCCATGGCTCACGGGCCTAGCTGCTCCGCAGCATGTGGGATCTTCCCAGACCGGGGCACGAACCCGTGTACCCTGCATTGGCAGGCGGACTCTCAACCACTGCACCACCAGGGAAGCCCTCATATAGCTGTTTTAATTTGCATCTCCATAATAACAAATGATGTAGACCATTTTTTCATATGCTTGTTTGCCATCTGTTATCTTTGATCAAGTGTCTGTTCAAAGTCTTTGACCATTTTTAAAATTGAGGTTTCTTATTGTTGACTTTTTAAAAAATAAATTTATTTATTTATTTTTAATTTATTTTTGGCTGGGTTGGGTCTTCGTTGCTGTGCGCAGGCTTTCTCTAGTTGAGATGAGCAGGGGCTACTCTTCGTTGCGGTGTGTGGGCTTCTCATTGCAGTGGCATTTCTTGTTGTGGGGCACGGGCTCTAGGCGCGCAGGCTTCAGGAGTTGTGGCACGTGGGCTCAGGATTTGTGGCTCTGGGCTCTAGAGCACAGGCTCGGTAGTTGTGGCGCATGGACTTAGTTGCTCCGCAGCATGTGGGATCTTCCCGGACAAGGGCTTGAACCCATGTCCCTGCATTGGCAGGCAGATGCTTAACCACTGCGCCACCAGGGAAGTCCCTTATTTTTGGCTTTTAAGGATTCTTTCTATGTTCTGGGTATCAGTGCTTTACCAGTATAGGACTTATGGGATGAAAGCGTTGAGATACTTTTGAGATCCTTTTTTTTTTTTGCCAATAGACCACTAAGTGTTCCAGCATCATTTGTTAAAAACTCTATTTTTTAATTTATTTTTGGCTGAGTCAGGTATTAGTTGTGGCGCGTGGGCTCTTCGTTGTGGGCACGGGCTTCAGAGCGTGTGCGCTCTGTAGTTTGCAGCACGCAGGCTCTCTAGTTGAGGCGTGTGGGCTTAGTTGCCCCATGGCATGTGGTATCTTAGTTCCCCAACCAGGGATCAAACCCACGTCTGTTGCATTGGAAGGCGGGTTCTTAAGCACTGGACCACCAGGGAAGTCCCTGAAAAGTCTATCTTTCTCCTTTGAATAACCTTTGCATCTCCATCAAACACTTGAATATACTTGACTTATGTGGGTCTTTTTCTGGGATCTCTGTTCTGTTCCATTGATCTATGTGTTTGTCCTTTCACCAATACTATTAAAGGTCTATAAGTCTTGAAATCTGTTGATAATAGCTCTATATGATGGTTCTTTTTGGTCAGAAATTGTTTTGCTATTTTCAGTGGAGATACCTGGCAAATATTACCTTTTCCAGTAGAACAATTTTGTCACTTTGATTTTCTATACCCCTATATATGATATTAGAAAGGGACTTCAATTCAGAGGTGTCTTTTCCAAAATGCATAACCCCTGTTTAATGAGGAAGAGAAGGTCAATATACAAAATACCTGGAACTTCCCTGGTGGCGCAGTGGTTGGGAATCTGCCTGCCAATGCAGGGGACACGGGTTCAATCCCTGGTCCAGGAAGACCCCACATGCCACGAAGAAACTAAGCCCATGCACCACAACTACTGAGCCTGTGCTCTAGAGCCCGTGAGCCACAACTACTGAGCTCACGAGCCACAACTACTGAGCCCACGTGCCACAACTTCTAAAAAAGCCTGCGTGCCGCAACTACTGAGTCAGTGTGCTGCAACTACTGAAGCCCACATGCCTAGAGCCTGTGCTCCGCAATAAGAGAAGCCACCGTAATAAGAAGCCTGCCCCCCGCAACCAAGAGTAGCCCCCGCTCGCCATAACTAGAGAAAGCCCACGCACACCAATGAAGACCCAACGCAGCCAAAAAAAAAAAAAACCTGACCAGTACTCCTCAAAATAATTGAGGACATGAAAAAGAAAAGACGGAGGAATGGTCATGGAGCAGAAGAATTCAAAGAAACCTGATTTCTAAAGGCAGTATTCTTCCCTGGTTTGAATCCTGAGACAGGAAAAGGACAGTAGTGGAAAACTTTGTGAAATCCAAATAGAATCTGTAATTTAGTTGTGTCATACCAATGTTAATATCTCAATTTGACAAATGTACCATGGTTATATAAAATATTCACATGAGAGGAAGTCAAATGAAGGTATATGTGCACTCTTTGTAGTACTTTGTGACTTTTGTGTAAATCTAATATTTTCTCCAAATAAAAGTTTATTTAAAATAGGTATAATCAGGACTTCCTTGGTGGTCCAGTGGTAAAGAATCCACCTTCCAATGCAGGGGACATGGGTTCAATTCCTGGTAGGGGAACTAAGATCCCACATGTCATGGGGCAACTAAGCCCGCGTGCCACAACTAGAGAGAGAAAACCCACATGCCACAACTAGAAAGAAGCGTGTGTGCCACAACAAAATGT